AGGACCACAATTCAAGTTCAGTCTCAGGCATCTGTACATAGAGCTGTGAACAACCACTGTCTAATACTTTGTCACTTGCCAAGTTGTTGGATGGAGCTTCCAGCATCCCCTTACTACTGGCTAAGTTGGCTAGGGCTGATGGGAGCTACAGTACAGCACCATCTGGAGGGCCGCAAGTGGCCCACCTCTATCCAGAGAGCTACTGCCAGTCTTGGTAGATGGAATAGTGATCAGACTCAGCACAAGGCAGCTTCCCAGCTGAATCAGTTCTTTACCCAAAATAAGGAATGGAATTTTATCTATTTTTTCTGGGGAAGAGTCATTGTTTTGGGGAGGGCATTTGCTTTGCATGCAGGGCTGTATAACACATTTGCTTTGCATGCAGGGCTGTATAACACCTGTCAGGTATCACTGGCCTGCAACTTCATCATCCCCGACTGCTGACCAGGCTGATGGAAGCTACAGTCCAGCAATACCTGGAGGGCCACAACGAGCCCAACTCTGAGGCAAGAGGTGAACCTCTAAACCGGGCAAAAAAGGTGCCCATCTGTCTTGCAGAGCTGCTCCTACTGACTATACATCAATGGCTCTGTTGAGCACCCCACCAAGTGCAAGACTGGTGAGCCCATGAAGCAGGGGTTTCTCTGCAGCATACCCTCAGCTGTGGAATTCAGGCTTTCTCCATCCCTGCTGAGTTTCTGGCAGGAGGTCTAGAGAGCATCTCTGGCCTTTGATTATGAAAACTGGTTTGTTAAAACTGCTCTCTATCTGTTTTAAAAGTACGTTTTTAAAAGTTTTTATTATATAAAAAGTTAATAATATTTCTATTTTTTTAAAAGCTTCTGGAATATTGATTTAATTATACCTTTACAATTTTGAATATACAGACTATACGTATTTAGCTGACAGCCAGCGTGGCGTAGTGGTTTGAATGCTGGACTATAGCTATGGAGAACAAGTTCAATTCCCAACTTGGCTATGAAACCCACCGGGTGACCCTGGGCAAGTCACTTGCTCTCAGTCACACAGGAAGGCAAAGGCAAACCCTCTGTGTAAATAAAATTGCCAAGAAAATCTCACGATACGTTCACCTTAGGGTTGTCATAAATCAGAAACGACTGGAAGGTACACAACAACAACAATGTATTTTGCCAATTTACTACTTGCACATGTTTTTTATATTTGCCTTAGTTCCTTTCTTCTACTGTCCTTTTTTATTTAAAAAAAGAAATAATTGGATTAGATAGCACACTAGTCTATTTGTCTTTTATTTTTGTACAATGCCATGCAGATTGTTGCTTGAAAAAATATAAATAATCAATCCATGGCTTTTGTGTGAGGCAGTGTGGTATAGTAATTTTGACTGCTGAACTCTGGGAGACTAGGATTTGAATCCCTTCTCAGCCTTGGGGATCTATTAGGTGTCTTTGGGCAAGTCACATTCTCTCATCTCAAGAGGAAGAAAACTGCACTTTAGGATCACCATAAGTTGGAAACAGCTTGAAGGCACATACCACCACCACCACCACCACTGCTTTTCAGGTCCTGGTGATCCCAATTGATATTAACAAGTATTTTAAATAAACAAAAAAGTATTTTAAATAAACACTTTTCCAGGGCTCCCACCAGTTTCTCAAAAACTGCTTGACTAAGCATGTGTTTCTAACCTCTGGAAAGAGGACATCTAAGATTAGTTTGATATTGTCCCCATTGTTGGGCTGTAAAATCTTGGCATCTGTCTCCTGGTAAATTCCCTTCAAATAGTTGTACACTTGATCTTGCTGGGAGTCGTCTTCCAGGTATGTCTCAATGTAGGTCAATTTCTTATGGGGATGAAGGAACTTCGTCAGCCACCGTGATGGCTTCTGCCTCTTCAAGACAGATCGGAGGTGCTCATCTGCCCCTTTGGCCTTGATGATGAAGTCCACGATTTTTTTGTTGGCTCTGTCCCTGGCTGCCCGTGTCCGGTCAGGAAGTAATTTCACCACCATCCTTGTGGGGGTCAACTCAGAGTGAGACTCTTGGGCCTCCTCCTCTTCAATCTGTGGAAAGTTCATTTGGGACAAGTTCAAGCCTTCTTTCCGAACTGGATAACCTGGAAAGGAGAAGGTAGACTTGATTATTACATCCTTTTAAGTCAGAGAATCTCAAGCTATTTTATGTCTGAGACTGGTTCCCTCCACCCCACTTAATGTGCCAGGGACTGCTACCATATATGTGCCCAATAGCTACAATTCTTTCTTTCTTTCTTGGAAACTCACCGGGGACTGACAGCCAATGGCTTGTGGACTAGCACCTATTCATGGACCACCACTTTGAGTAGTGCTGTCTTACACTACAGCAGGTTATTTAAATTATAAATTAGAAACACTGTGAACATGTTGTTCTCTGGAAAAGAGGGTGGCATCAGAGTTGAAAGTGACACTGACCATCTAATCCAATCCAGTGCAGAAACCTTCATTCATTGAAGGAGAATCCATCATTTTCCAGTGTTCTGTAGTGGTTTGAGTGTTGGTCACTCCTCCAGGAGATCAGGGTTTGAATTCCCACTCAGCCATGGAGACCCACTGAAAGACCCTGGACTAGTCAGACTTTCTCAGCCTTAGAGGAAGGCAATGGCATACTTCCTCTGAAAAAAATGCCAAGAAAATCCTAGGACGGGGAAGCCATCAGTCAAAGTGAATTTGAAGGTATATAATAACTACCACTTTCCACAATAGTCTATTCCTTTGCTGAACATCCATCTCTGTCAAGAAGTGAACATTAGGAATAAAGGTGAGAAGAAGAAAAAAAATTTAGGCACACAAATCAAATTAATCCAGGACAATTTTTTGGCATTTGCCTCACAGAATAAACTGTAGCTGTTTACTTCTACAATCACAGGAGTGTCATCCCTTTTCCTCTGATTTTTTATGACAGCAAAGGTGATCCTTGCTGGAGCAATGACAATTGCCCAAGATCAAAGACAGGGGAGTGCTTTGAGAAAACTGCAGTAATGGAGCTTGTGAACTTGAAGTAATACTTACTCATAGCATCAGAGCAATATTCCAAGAAGGATCCCACAAAAGAATTGCAACCTATATGGGCAAAAAAGACATGTTGATTTTGGAGATGAGAAAGTTCAAAGAATTATAGGGTGCACCTGCGTCCCCTGTACTTTTTAGAAAGGTGAATGTAAGGTTAAAGTGGAGGTATGATGTTTTAGAGACTGCCTTGTGTAGTGGTCTGGAGTATTGGATGAAGATTCCGGGAGACCAGGGTTCGAAGCCCTGCTTAGCCATGAAAACCCATTGGGTGACCTTAGGTAAGTCCCATACCTCTGCGCCTCAGAGGAAATCTTGCCAAGAAAATTCTAGGATAGTCACCATAAGCTGAGGACAACTTGAAAGCACAAAGCAGTAACAGTGATGTAGTTTGATTATATAAAAACTTAACACTACAAACTTCTTTCTTTCAGTTAGTATCAAAGATTCCTTAGTGTACTCATGCAGACTAACACCGCTCAGTCTTTGAATAAAAAGAGGAGTAAGCGAGGAGGAAGAGAAGTTTAGTATTTCCCTTTCTGTTATTTGCCCTCTAAATTCAGATGTCTTCTTTGGTATTGGAGCTGCATTAAACTGAGGAGGCAGCTAGGTGAAGATTGAGAGGGGCAAGTAACAAAGCAGACAAATAGTAGAGCTCTCTTCCCAACATCCATCCATCCATTTGCAACAGAGGGCAGGCAGACACTGGATACACTAGAGGAGCTCATTCTCCTACCAGGGGAAATCTAGGCCTTCAATTTGATTGAAGTGGAAGAGGTCAAATCCAATCCTAGATGTCCCCTGTATACTTCAGGAAAATTATTCTTTGCTTTCTTCAGCCGCCCCTAGACTGTGGGATGACCTGCTAGAAGAGATTCAACAGCTGAATAAGCTGTCCAAATTTAAAAGAGCATTAAAGACCAGTTTCTTCAAGCAGGCTTACCAAGATGATTTTTCAATGACGGATTTTAAAGGATGAATTTTAAATGTGGATTGTTTTAATATGTATACATCTTATTTGTCCTTTTAAACTGATGTGTGTGTTTTAACTGATGTATTTTTAACTAATGTAACAACAACAACAACATCTGTTTTCATAGGCCACTTTAGGCCCAGGGGATGCTCACTTCTTGTTTTTTAAAAAAGACTTTCTTGGGTCTAAATTGCCCCCCCCCATGCCTCCTTGGGGCAAAATCCAGATGCTTCCTTGGGGCAAAATGTTTTCTTTTTAATTGCATTACTTTTTTAATTGCATTATTTTTTAAATCCCTGGCCAAAATGAATTTGCAAGCTAAAAAATATTCTGGGTTCCACTTTTCAACCAATTCCACTTTTTGAAAGTTATAGAATCATAGAGTTGGAAGAGACCACAAGGGCCATCCAGTCCAACCCCCCTGCCATGCAGGAACTCCTATGATCAAAGCATCCCCGACAGATGGCCATCCAGCTAAGCAGGGGCTTCTAGTAATGCACTTATAGCCCAGATAGCTCTATGAGGCTACAGAAAGATCCAGATTCCTTTCTGCTGCAAGACACATGGGGATGGAAAATGAAGAATGTTCTTCAGGCCAAAGAGATGACAACCACCACCACTCAGTGCTTTAACTTACCAACTCTAATCCAGTAGTCCTCTATCAAATTGATGCACCAGTCAATTTCATGTTTATAACTCTCTCGGGCTGCATCCTGAGAGGAAGAGTGGAGGAAAAAGATGGCATAAATTTAGACTCCTTCTCATTACGGAAATGACCAGTGCTTCCTGCCTGTACTGGGAGAGAGCCAAAAGTAGAGCTAAAACCTTCAAGGATCACAGTGGAATTGGCCACATGCCCCAAATCAGGGCTGTAGAGTTGGTATGCCAAACCTTCAACTCTGACTCCGACTCCTTCATAAATGGCAAATATAGAATTCTAGAGTTTGAAGAAACAACATGGACCATTCAGTCTAACCTCCTGACATGCATTATATATGATTAGAGTCAGCGTGGCATAGTGGTTTGAGTGCCAAACTACAACTCTGGGGATCAGGGTTCGATTCCCAGCTTGGCCATGAAACTGACTGGGTGATCTTTAGCAAATCACACTCTCTCAGCCTCAGGGAAAGGCAATAGCAAACCTTCTCTGAACAATTCTTGCAAAGAAAACCCCAAGGTTTGCCTTGGGATTGCCATAAGTCAGAAATGACTTTAAGGCACATAACAACAATAATGTATATTAGTAATAACAACTTTACCATAGTAAAATTGTAGTGCAAGTTGTTTCATCACTACTGTCAAGCGACAGATCGATAGAACTTAACATTTATTTAATTAAAATTTCTGAACAAAAAAAATTCCTAGAAAAGTAAATATAATCAAGCTAGGCATTTAATAAATAAAAATGTAAAATATAAGTCTAAAAATGATATTATTTGCCATATGTTTTTATAATATTCTAAATTTTTATTTTCAAGCTGAAGTTAGTACATTACTTGAGACACCACCCAAAACTGCTTCCGACTCTATGACTCTGACTCCACGGCCCTGCTCCAAATTTCACTTTTTGCTGCTTTACTTACTATCAGCTTCTTCTTCTCCTCGCATTCGAAGTGCTTGAGATTTTTGAGAGAGATGGAAATGCTGCATCAAGAGAAGAGAGGGTTATTGAGAAATAAGGGATTCAAAATTGAGAGAATTCCTCAGCCCCCTGACTTCCAGAACTACAAGCGGGTGTAGCTGAGCAGTGCCAACTCCTTTCATGCAGGGGAATTAATGCAGGGGGTAACTGTACCACCTTCTCACATCAGGAGGAGGAAGTATCACCTGGAGCCTGATGAGGTGCGTGTATCACCTAATAGAATCCACTGACAAAGAGATTCACAACAGAAATTTTTCAAGTGGCTTTCCTCAACCTAGCGCTCTCCGGACTTCTGAAGGAAAAGATTCATATGGTTTATAAACTGGCATGGGGGATAGATGCCAGCAATGTGTGGGGCTCTCCCTTTGCTTCTTTCCTTTCTCCCTCCCTCCCAGAGGGCTGCTGGGGAAGGCACAGGACTCTCTTGCCAAATATACTGTATATACTTACGTATAAGTCTAGAAATTTAGGTTAAAAAATTGACCCCAAAAAACTGAGTCAACTTGTCCATGGATCAATGTAAGTACTGTACTTTAACTCGTGTGTATGTGTGTATATGTATCCATCCATCCATCCCCATGTGAAAGGCAAGAGTTTAATTTGCCCTGGAAGCATTCTACTCTCTCTTTCATTACATGCCCCTATGTTTTGCCCTCGACTTATCCACGGGTCATATGAAAATCCATAATTTTGGCCCCAAAACCTGTCCTCGACATATATAATGTTGACTTTTAGTCGAGTATATATGGTAAATTACTTTTGGGAAGAGCCTCTGTCAGGAATGCTTCGGCCATCTGTCAGGTGCTTTGATTGTGTATTCCTACATGCCAGGGAGTTGGCCCCTGAGGTCACTTCCAACTCTATGATTCTATGAAATCAAGCCTGGCCTGTGCTACAGAAGTCCTGAGGATTTGTTCTTGCTTACAGAATTAAACACACTCAAGAGAAATAATGAAACCAGAAAAAAGTGGAAGTTCTAATATCCACTATGAGATTGAGAATTCCTCCCCAGTAACTGCCTGATGTTTTGTACAAAAGTTCATGGCTTCTTCAGGTTTCAAGAACAAAGATAGCAGCTGCACAATGGTTCATTCAGTGTGATCTCTCTCTCCCTCCCTCTGCTCTTTTTGTTGTCCCCATGTGTGGCCGTCCGGATGTTCTTGGACTGCAACTCTCATTATCCTTTGCCATTCAGTTAGACAAGTGTAGTGAATATGGAATTTGCCAGCAAAAGGAATGGTGTTTGAATACATGTGTGATTGCAGATACTAATGCAGAGCCTCATACTGGCAAGGAAGGGAGTTATGCTGCTGTTGAGTGCCTTCGAGTTGTTTCTGACTTATGGTGACCCTAAGGCAAACCTATCACAGGGTTTTCTGAGGATGAGAGTGTGTGATTTCCCTGAGGACATCAATGGGTTTCCATGGCAAGCAGGGAATCGAACCCCAATCTCCGGAGTTGTAGCCCAATGCTCAAACCACTACACCATGCTGGCTTCCTGGTAGCATTAGGCCTTATTTATCCTAGCAGCAATTTCTTGTATCAGCTTCCCTGACTGGGAGAGACATGTGGGGCATTGCTTTCTCCATTCCTTCAGATTTTAAAAACAGGTGGCTTCCATTTGTGTATGAAAGATTTCCTTGTCCAGATTTTCTGAGTACAAAAAGCCTTTTGACCACATTTTGAAGTTCAGCTCTGAAAAGTGCATACAGACATACTCAAGGAGTTTGTGCTTTTAAGAGCATTACCCCTTATAACATGTGGTTCTGGCTACAACAGAAAGGGGGACGACTTTCCACTAATGTAAGAACCTATAGAATTGAAGAGTTATCAAGGCAACTCTACCTTCCAATCTGACCCCTGCTCAACACAAGAACTTCAGCTGGAGTATCCCCAGAGGCAGCTGCCCAGCCTCTTTTGGATGACATCCAGAGAAAGAGACCTCAACACCTCTTGAAGTCATTGCTTGCTTTAACACCTGCATGTATGTCTAGGACAGCCATTGTTCACTGGGATGTGGTCCACACATCACAAAAGCTGACAGAGTGTCTCCGCCTGCTGCTCTGGTTGTAGTGTGCAATCTTACGTTGAAATTCAAAATGCAGATGTGGGGTTTCCAGAGATAAAAATGAGAGGTGCTAACCTTTCTCTTCCTTACCACCACTGTCCTCCATTCACTCTCCCAAATGAGCATGAGTTATGTGAAAATTCACTCTCACAAGCCCACCATCTATCACTCCATCTTCACACACAACACTAGTCTAGCCTAACTCAGAAATAACTTGAGGGCACACAAGAACAAAAAGATATATACCGAGACTGTCTGCTGTTTCTCAGAGAACTGCAGGGCCATGGTCTGTCCCTGTCCCCTTTCTGGCCTGTTTTCTTTAGCAAAAGCTCACAGACATTCTGGCCATTACCACAACGCAGGTGTGGTTTCAAGTGTCAGAAGGCAATGTTGAAACAAATCCTGCTTTTAAAATGAGGGAGAGCGGAGAGCAAAACAACAGTGAATTTGATTTGCTCTTTTTACCTTCTGGGTTTGACCTCCAGGTGTTTGTCTATGAAGATCACGCTGGCCTTCTTTGCTTTCTGTTTTAAGTTTCTCACCTGTCAGAAGACAAACCCAACAGCTAAATGCCTGGAAAAGGGAACAGGCGTGGGTCAGTGTTGAAACTGGGGTGGGCTATTCTTTGACGTCCTGGAGTAAAGATATCCCCCCAAACTGCAGAAGACAGCACCTCCCAATTTTTAAACACAAGTCAATGAAGGATTTTTGTGGATTCCTTTAAGTGAAATAATGTTTTTAAAAAATTGTGGGTGGGGAGTGGTGGGATACTTGCAGGCCTCATGGAACCCATAAGCTGTACTTTTCCGACCCTAGAATATGCAAACTATAGGTTTGTGAGATCTAGTTTCCCCTCACCCTGACTAGAATCCTCAAGATCCATCAATGGAAATCTGATGCAAAAATATGTGTGGTCCTTGAAACATCATTTTGTAGTCCCTGGAACAAAGAGGCTCTTGCCAGCTACTGGGGTCAAGGCATGGTGGAGCTGCTCTTCTTCCCCATCAGAGGCCAGAGCAATGGCAGTTGGATTCTGGAGGGAATTATGGTCTCTCACCAGCCAGTAGGCCAATCCATGATAGAATCAAAGAATACTAGCCTAGTTTAGCTTAAAGCTGTTAATTTAAGTCAGGTGTAGGCAACCTTTCCCCTTTAAGGGCCGAGGGACTTCAGCTCCCAGAATCCCAGAAGCTATTGGCCAACATGGGACTACTGGCCAACATGGCTGAGGCTTCTGGGAACTGAAGTCCCTCGGCCCTTAAAGGGGTAAGGTTGCCTACCCCTGATTTAAGTTAACTCATAGGAGAGAGGTTTCTATTCTTTCAAATGAGAGACAAAACATCCATACAAGTGTGTGAAAAGGGTGATGGCCATCTAGTACAGAACTGCACAGGGACTGGATCTGGCCCCCAGAGCATGTGTTCCCCACCTTTGCTGTAGTGAAAGCTTCAGAATACTTTAACCTCAGGACTGGGCACCACCTTGAGGTGCAGCACAGCAACCTGCCTCAGACAACACATATGGAGGGTCTGAGTGTATGGAGGGACTGGGTGAATAAATACAGCTGTATGTATTACATGGTTCTTCTGTGCCCCCTCCTTTAAGTTCCCCACCTGCCCTCAAGAGTGGGGGAAGATGCCATGCAGTCACCAGTACTGCAGGAAAAGGTTCACTCTGGTTCACATTTGTTGATGAAGATACTGGGTGGATTTGCCACTTGGTTCTTTGCTTTAAGTTACAAGGTTTTTTGGGGGGGGATGTTCTGGTTACCTTTGCTAAAAACTAGCATGCGTTTCAATTTTGGGGAAAGGGCAGGGTATACATACAGTTATTATTAATAATAATAATCAATTATACTCTACATTGGCTACTTAATTACAACTGCATAATTATGTAACACTAACCTCCCCCCCAGCCCACTTTAACAGGCAGCAGTTAGATCAGGTCCAATCAGCTGAAGACTGGGTGCAGGGAGGGGGATGCTTCCACCTCTATCCTGCCAGCAAAAGAGACTGCAGCAAGGACTGTAGCAAGGGTTCTGCTTCTGATCGTCACATCACTAGATGGTGGGAGGAGGGATGGAAACATCCTCAACTATCCCTGACTGGAAGCTGAATGGCCTTCCTTTCCCTGATCTGGCTGCTGGCTCTTAAGATGGACTGGGTTGGTATTTACACAGTTTTAGTCAAACTACATAGTCTTACTTAATATAAAGCAGTTAAAAATTTGTAACTTACAGATTAGTAACTGCAATACAGCCAATAACTAGTATTTTGCATCTGAATTCCTAAATATTTAATGCAGAAAATGTATCTGATATCATTCTCATTTAAGGACTATTTATGTTTCCTCTGAACTTTAGAGAATATCAGAATTTAGATCTTATAGTTAATACAACTACAGTCGCCCCTCCTTTAAATCCAGGGTTTTGCATATTCACAGAGGAGCGACCTCCGTGAAAATCGATGGGGCCTGGTGGGGGCGCACCCCATTCAAGCCTATGGTGCTTGAATATTGCCAAATCTCCATTTTTGTGAGGTGTGTGTGTGTTCCAGAACGGATCCCCCATGAAAATGGAGGGCCAGTTGTATGCATATAAGTAAAACAGGATTACCCCCTCCCCCAAGCTTGTTGCACAAAAAGGGGAATCGCACAAACGAATCCAATAAAAAGAAATGTAGTAGTAAATCTCCAGTTCTTACCACAGCAGGCCAGTATGGGTATCTTCGGAGCTTGCACCAAACCACTTCCCCTTCCTTGATAGAACCCAGTTCTGAAGGCACAAAGAGAGAAATACTGACTGGATAGGAGGATATAAATTTGTAATTTACCTTGGAGCATGTCAAAACAATGGGATTTCCATTGTGAGATTCACAGTCAAAAACTGCATATATTACCAGCAAAGAATCTACTGGGAAAGGATACATCGGGTCATCTGGGGGAGAGACACTGGGCCTGGCACCATCGGGCCTAGTTAAGAAGAAGAGCCCTCCCTCCATTCCATCCAGTGTCATCTGGGGGAGAGACACTAGGCCCAGCACCATTGGGCCTGGAATAAGAAGAGCCCTCCCTCCATTCCATCCAGTGTCATCTGGGGGAGAGACACTAGGCCCAGCACCATCGGGCCTAGAATAGGAAGGAGGGATGGGATTCGAATTTGATTTATCTGCTTTGTTGTTTGAAAATGCTGTATGCCGCCCCGATTGCCTAGCAGAGGGGCGGGATATAAATAAAATTATTATTATTATTATTACTGTACCACTATTCTTTCTTGGGGCAAAACTTTATCTACATCTACTGTTTACTTTAATGTCTGGAATGTTTCTTTTATTCAGAAACAAACTGAAGTATCTTCTGTTTTCAGGGTGTTTATATAAGCATTCATGTTTATAAATAATAATAATAATAATAATAATAATAATAATAATAATAATAATAATAATAATAATAATAATAATAATTATTATTATTATTATTATTATTATTATTATCCTGCCCCTCTGCAGAGCAATCGATAAAAGAAATCTGCCCTGGTGTAGTAAGTGCATGAATACATTATAGACAAGTTGCTTACCTGTAACTATAGTTCTCTGAGTGTTCATCTGTGAAATCACACAAATGGGTTGTCTGTGCCTGTGCAATCCACCATTCATAACCTTCTAGAGCCCTTACATAGGCATTTTGGTGGTAGTCCAATCCACTCCTCGCACATATTGGCAAAATTCCCACCCAAGCCCTCAGGACCACCCAATTTGGAGTAGATAGGGCTGCTGCCAGAACACTCCAGGTGCAGATAACCCATTTGTGTGATTCACAGAGATCACAAAGAAGAAATCTCTTTCTCAATAGTGGTCTGGCTAACTCTTCCTTAACAACTTGAGATCTTCTGGGGAAGACCCTTCTCTCTGTCCCAACATCCTCACATGTAAATCTGGTGGGAACATGGGAGAGGATCTTCTGGGTGGCTGCCCCCAAGCTCTGGAACTCCCTTCTGAGAGAGGTTAGATTGGCAACCTCCATCTTTATCTGCAGACCAGGGAAGACCTTTCTGTTTCAACCAGACTTTGAGGACTGATTATTTAGGCAGGACGGGCCTTCTACAATGTTCTGGATTTTCTACTGGTGCTAGTATATGTCATTCCCTAGGACGCCAAAGGACTAGGGAACAAGTTATATAACAAGGACTGGGGAAAGGTTGCTTGGCTTAAAGGAGGCTGTACGTGCCAACTGATGCCTCTATCAAACATATTAGCTTGATGGAATTTTCCAGCAAATATGCTTTGCAGTAGTGACTTGGCAAACTATTTTAGAGTGTAAGAGCTTTTGATTCATGGATCCTATTCTCTTCAGATTCTGGTCAGTCAGGGTGGGAGAGAGAAACACACTTTTTTCTCTAATTAAAGTTGGGTCCTTGATTCATCAGGTCT